CTTGTGAAGAATATCACAATACTAGTCATACAATGTCACTAACAAAAATTAATGGAAAATCAAGTGGTCATTGAAGTCACTTGAATGACCAATTTGTATATTGGTTCCAATAATGATTGACTTCTCCATCTCCTGTAATTCCGTCAATTGAAATGGTGAAGTGATATTCTGTGAACTCCGTGAAATTTGTTCAGGATCAATAGGAGGGCCTCCTTTCCCTTGACCAAAAAATTGTTTTCCAGGAACACTCAATGAAGATACAACACCAAGAGATGCCATTTGCAAAGAAATTGGTAATTTTCCCATGAAGCTGAAATATGAGTTAAGCATCCGTTCGTGCTGCAAATTGTAACAAAAATGAGTTCGCTTCTCTTCTTTCAAGACTTATCAACAAAAGTAAACTTTTTCCATGGGCTAGTAATAAATTTGGAATGCATCCATCCCTTTGTACTAATTATTTCTATAAAATAGACGATGTAGATATTCCCTACCTAGGCACTAGGCACAAGCGTATTTTGTATTTTGTTGAAAGAAAAGGAAACAGTCACCTCTTTCTTCAGTAAGGAATTTTCCATTCTTAATTTCTGTATATTGCAATGCTTCTCTTCTTCGCCAAGACGTGGACCATCACAAGTTGGGCAGATGATGTTATTCAGTGCCTCTTTCATAGCTAAATTCTCACATTGAATTCTTTCATTTTCAGATCGAAGGGTGCTATTTTCTGCTCTCTCGTGTTGAGCCTAAAATACATAAATTGCTCAATGGTAAATATCAGCAAAACTGAGAATGAAATGGGAGACAGGAACATATATGTATAAATCAACCAATATACATAACACCTTCGTCTGAGTTCTTTTATTTTGAAACCAAGACTTTATCTGATTGGGATCAAGTGCTAGTTCCCTGCTCAATTGTAGCATCTGATTTTCATCTGGATATGGGCATTCCTTAAAGAACCTGCACAATTTCCATCAGTCAGGAGCAAAATATTCATGTTTTCAATAGAATAAATAAAAAATAATTCAGGGATTTGAAACGCTTAAAACCGAAAAATCTGAAACAGTTTAACCAAGTATTTAGTTCTTCAATTTTAATTGCTGCAACAAGAAAGTTGTAACCATTACCTATTATTAAAAAATACGGAATCTCTTCTACTTTTAGCAAAATTAACCAACACTTAAGTGTTCATTAATAACTAGAAATTCGACGTGTATAGATAAGTAACATCAAAATAGTAACCCTTATCTGAATTTTTATTGCTTTGTTTAAAAAACAATTAAAATAGCAAAAACAAATTAAATCATCCATAAGAAAGCAAGTGTGCTGTATTTTAATCTTACGCTTCAAGCTTCTGTATTTGTTGTGTTGAGTGTCGACGGCGTTGCTTCTTACCCCATTGAGAGTTTGAAGTCTGTTCATTACCTGATCCACTTCCTCCATAGCCAGAATCCATTTTTTACAGAGTTTTTCTGCTGTCAGACTGGCAATGTGAGAAGTTCCACACACGAACAATGAATATACAAAATGCACATTCATTTTCTATCTGGTTTCAATTTAGATATATATGTATTCACATGTTTGTCAAATAATTAAGTAAAAAAATAAAAGAAGCTAAGAACTCACCTTCTTCAGATAATTGAGAAATAGACTCAAAAATATTCTGGAATGTGATTTTCTGAGTTTGTGTTTGTCTGTGTAGCACAGACTTCAGCTATATAAGGGAAATAATATGGAGGCAGTAGGGATTTGTATTGAAGTGTAATCAGTGATGTTTAGAGTTTGACTTCTGTGAAACAACTAAGAAAAAGAGCACAAATTTATTGCAATAATTAAAATGAAGATACCATAACAGATAAGGACGGATGCAAATGAAAATGTAATTAAGAAATAACACACAAATATTTTCTTTTACTCATTCTCCATTAAGTATCTGCATTAATGTTGATAGATGTATACATTAATGAATTCAAATTCATTTCTATAGAGATGATGTTGGGACCCACCAAACTCCACATTGGTATGGTATTGATCGCTTTGGGCTTGAGCCCTCACGAATATGCTTTTGGATACTATCCAAAAGGTTTCATACCAATTGAGTATTGTCCTACACTTATAAACATATCATATTTCCCATGTCTAGCCAA